AACAGGAAGGAATGTCGGCAGCCAACTCCTGTGAAAGGAACAGAGAATGTTCTGGTTCTCTGGTTTCTAGTCTTTTGGTTTCTTTGTTAATGTTCTGGTTTCTGTCTGTGTTTCTTAGTTGCTCTGTCTCCCCTGTTTGCTGCGTCCCCTTGTCAAGTCCATGTCTGTGTTATGTTTCCTGTTTTGCTTTGAAAGTCCGTGTCTCATGTTAATGTATCTGGTTTTGCTTCCCTTGTCTCGTTAGCCCTGATTTGCCTCAGCTGTGTTTCCCTCCTGTCTCTCATTCCCTGCTTGCTCCCTCTGTGTATTTAAGCCTTGTGTTTCTCTGTGTCAGTGTCGCAATCTACCATCTAATTATGCTGTGTGTTCTGCCTGTCAGCTTTTGTAGTTTTCAGTTTTGTTTTATAATAAATCTAAGTTTGAGTTTACCTTCCATCTCCGTGAGTCTGCACTTTAGGTCCTCCTTACCACCACTCCTGCCTGCACACGGCCTACACATGACAAAAGTTGCTACTTCTGTAACGTGTACGGTGGTGTAGGCACAGCTTTTACTTTGAAGGTAAACATTTTCCATTTCTTGTTTGCATCATGCTTTTATAAGTTAAACTCCTGCTCCGTGGTTAGTTAGCAGCTGGGATAACAAGCAAAAGATTCCGGTGCGGTTCCAGAAGGAGTGACCCCTTGTAATGATGGGAGAAACCATAAATACTTTTTGCAGACAAGATGAAAACTTTGGTGACTGTAGCAATCTACAAACAACGAGAGCAATCACAAGGTTTTCAGTGCAGCTCTCCCTTTGCAACTGATGTTGCACAGCATCAGCCAGGAACTACACGCCAACCAATCAAGGAGGGTAAATTTTTCTAAAAATCTTCGGTTTCTAGGGCGAGTCACCAAATGGTCTCCAGGTCTCAGGTTTAGGTCTTGGTCTGAAGGCTTGCAGGTAGCATCATGTGTATTTAAAGATGCACTATGTGCACATCATGCAACCATCATCCATTAGGTATCTGGGCTTCTACTGAATTCAAAATAATTTTCATTTATTATTATTATTATTATTATTATTATTATTATTATTATTATGAATTATTAAGAAATCTTGGAAACGTGTATTTATTGAAAATGTAACTGATCTTTTTAATGAAGAATCACTCTTAAATTATATCAAAATGAATATAATTCAAGTCACATTACGCAAAGGCACTAAACTAAAGATGCAGCATCATGATGGGGAGTAGATTTGGGCTTTTAGTGAAGGGCAAACAGCAGAGTAGTCATTTAAGCTTAACTGTCCCGTTTTACTCATTGGTAAAAGCCAGAGTTGGAATTGAAAATTAAATTTGATGAACTGTCGAGCCCTAGAGCGCCCCGTTTTATAACATAAACGTGCAAGTAGCCCAGTAGGCTTATGTGTAATAAGAGTATGATTATAAATATTTCTTCATCACACAACACAAGCATTATTTAGCTCAGTAATCCAACTTGAAAACAAGTCTTTTTAAATTCTACTAAAGGGTTATTGAGGAAAAATATATTTCTATACCCGAATGTAAAGTAGATTTTTGTACGCTTATTGAAACTTAAAATACTTTATTGTCAGTGAGGTCAAAATATTATTTGGAAAAAAACCCTGCAAATCAGGTGCCCCAGTATTCATCGCTGGAGTGTTGATGTTTAAGTAAAAGACAGGTGGACAAAAATGAGTGAGATTTAAATATGAGCACCCGCTCCTCTATAGAGTGAAATCAATGAGAGCTGGTGAAGATTATTTCCTGTTTAACACATACTGACATGTCAGAGAGGGGCCCCAGCAACAACAGGACAACAGTTAGCTCACTACTCTGGAGCTGGGGGAGGCAAGGGGACAGCGAGAGACATGCCACAGAGAGAAGAAAGAAAATGGCAAAGAATGTGAACAATCTGAGGCAGAAAACTTCCTGAGTCCACAATAGAGGTGGAAAAAAACCCACACACACACACACACACACACACACACACAAAACCCCAGAAACAAGCGAGCAAAGTCGAGGTGGGTAAAAACGAGATTGACCAAAGACCAGGACGCAGACAAAAGATGAGAAATACCAGGTGGAATTCCAGCAAGAGGCTCCACCTGAGCCCCTCCCCTTTCGGTACACACCCCCTCCTTCCTCCTCTACACACACACTCACAGATTCCCAAGCTCCCAGGCTAGTATGTGATGTCCTGCTTCTCTGCTTCAGCCTCACGAGCCCTGCCCCCAGTGCCTGACCCAGTCACCAGCATCCCCTGCTAACCTCTGTCCCCTTTTTTCCCATTCAGCAAACATAATGCATCACTGTCACCCTCCTCCTCCTTGTCAATGCATTCATCCCGCCATGCGCTTGGCGAAACCCCTCATGAGTCCTGGCGGCTCGCTCACAGCACCTCCCTGTTCCCATTGCCTTCGGTTCCTTGTGAGCAGGTTGTAGGCGTGTGTGCGACAGCACGTGTGCAGAGACTTGGTCCACAGAGTTGACTGTAAATCTGTCAGAAGATGGGTGCCGTGCAACGAGACAACGGCTCCTTGCTGCGACACCCAATTCCCCCCCCCCTCACTTAGGTAACAGACGCATTTGGGGCACAGAGCTGAAACAATTACTGTTAATAATAAATTCCTGATTAAAACCCCGTCACGAGCAGCAGCCAGACAGTTCGGAGAACATTTGACTAACTATACATCAATTAAATTAGGAGAATAGAGCTTTCAGTAAGTGGCTTAACAGGACTGAATATGAAACATCAGTAAGATAAACAGAAGAGGCTAACTGGCCTGAAAGTGTTTATTTTAGTTGTCCTGTCATCCGTTATTTACTAAATAATTTTTTTTCTGTAAAAATAAAGTCCACCTCTGTTTGCCAAAGCCCAATGTCACACCTTTAACTGCCCCAAAACCCAAGTTTACTACCATTCCCAAACAAGAAACCAGCAGCTGCTCACAATTTAGAACCGGCAATCCTAATGGATCAAATATGACGTCCATCATATTTTTTCTCAACTCTTGTCTCTACCAGACCTTTCTGGAATAACAACTGTTACTTCTGGATTTGTCTGCTTTTTCCAAGTTCCAGTTTTGTGCATGCACCAAAAAACCCTCAATGAACTAGCAAGGACACCCTCAGCCTAACATTAAAGTAAGTTATGGTGCAAAGTGTCTACCACTGAGCTACTTACAAGTTGCAAATGAAAAGCAATGTTTGAAGTCAAAGAATGATAGGCAAATGTTTCCCTGCAGAGTTTGCATGCTATTCTCTCGGAGTCATGCCCTTCCTCTCGAAATGATCCCACACTTTGGACTTCCTGCCTGACGTGTGTAATTACTATCTAACTATAACGTCTGTTTGCAACTCAGTTTTCTTCCCCTTAATCGACCAACAAACGAACCAACATCTGGTCAACAAACTCTTCCCATTGGCTTAATATTTAGTTGACTATTAGTTTGTTGGATAACTGAATATTTCAGCCAATTAAAATAGTTCAGATTGTTATAGTAGCTGAAACTTGAACCCATTTTTATTTTCATGTAAACCTTTGGGGGGGGCGCCATCAACAATAACCAGTTAGACATTGTAATGTCATGCATCACTAAATAAGCATGGGGAATTCTCTGGTTGCAGCATCTCATCTGTGACTCGCTGCAAGTTGACATCTTTTGAGAAGGACATCTGTGAGTGTTGAGCTGTCACTGTCTTTAACCTTTAAATATTTTATATCTTATAAAAGAGACTAATGAAAACTATCTTTGTTAGCTGCAGCCACGTTTGGACACGCATCTAAATTTAGACAGCGACTTCAATATAATCAACTCAGCCTCACATCCCTCACCTGCAGCATCACTCCGATTCAACCTCTGTTTACACACACTGAAGTGTACGGCTGCTATTATCCAGTGTGAGCTGGGGCTCTGGTGTCATGCTCAAGGACACAGTGCTTTCCGGCGTACGCACACACACACTTACACCACCGGCTGGCTGTTTCAGGGATCAAACCGCGCACCTTCATAATTGCAGAGCAGCGGGTACGCACAGGGCCACGTTGCTGCCCCCTGCAGATATACAGTTAGAGACATTACTGAGGATGAAGCAGATGGCAGGAGGGGTTATGAAGGACCTAACAGGAAAAAGACACCATCACGACGACCATTCACCGTATCACCTCACACATTTTAAGGCAATGCATGACCCCTTCGTGCACTGCTGACGTGCACACTGGAGACACACGCCGTAGACCGGCTGCACTTTATTTATTTGAATTTAATCGGGCTGCAGGCTGGCTGAGCGGCTGGTTGACTGACGGTCACCGTCGTCTGCCTCCTTCCTGCAGCGCACGTTTGTTGTAAAGCGACCAGCAGAAATACAGCGGGAGCCGCTTTTACATACAGTAATGCAGCCGAGTGTGTTTGCACGCTCCTGCTCATCAAACATCCCGGTCCAAATTCCCTCACGTTGCGACAGCACCGGGCTCAGCTGTTTCCCACCGACTGTCGCGGACAGCAAGCAGCAAGCGAGAGAAACCGGTTTAAAACAAACAAAAAAAAATCACCCCGTGTTTTTGCGTTCAAGCGCGAGCGTGCGAGTCCAAAGCATGTGCTGTCCCAAAACTTATTCATGTTCTGCAGCAAATCTACTGGAGGCACTATTGCGATCCAGCGGCTCGTGCGTAAACTGGCGAGCTTGTGCGATCAAGTTAAGTTTATGAAATGTGCCGAACGTTCAGCCGTGCTGCAAATAAGCATGGCACCGAAACACGCACCGCATCACCGTTACAAACTGGGGGCAAATGTTTTCTGTCATTTACTTAAAAAATAATAATAAAATAAAATATGTATTCTGTGCCCTCCGCACCGCGCCGATGCCAATATTGTGTGCGCACTGCCGCTGGAAACCCAAGTCAAGACATTTCCGTCCTCTATTGAAATGCAAACCAAACGCAAAGTCTGGTCAAACTGACTGAATAGGAGCGCGCGTGCTGCACGTACTTACCTCGTGGACGTATCTCTCTCCCGAATCGATAATTTCTTCTTTACACCATTAACTCTCCGCCATCTTCGGCTCTGTTTGTTTAAATGGGAAACACTCCCGAAGCCCAAGAAGCCAGTTCTGTAAGTTGAGGCGTCGCTAGGACTTGTGGGTAAACGAGTTCTTTCTAGAGGAGCCCCGCGCTTCCGGATTGCTCGTCCAACCCGGATACGGACTACAGGCAGACTCCACCACCACACGGGGGAAGGAGGAGGAGTGGAAGGTAGAGGTGGAGGTGGAGGAGCAGGCACCGTCTGTCTAGCAGCGTACAGACGGATGTGAGCGACGAGAGGGAAGATGCCACAGTGTGTGTTATCAGTTAACCTCACTGCACGAAAAGCAAACAGCTGACTTGTTTGTGTTGATGGGAGGAGCTACAGGCTGCAAATATCCAGACTTTTTTTTTTTTTTTAGCCAAAAGAGGGCGTTTGGACTGAAGGGGTGATAGAAAAGAGCGAACTTGAGAGCAAATAAGGACGCAGAGGTCCTGTCCTTGCCTTGTGCAAAAAAAAAAAGTTCACTTGGATAAATAAAAGCCGCCTCTGTGTGGTCCTCATTGAAAGAGTTTGGAACAGTTTAACATTTGTTTTGCATATTTAACCACACCACTTCCTATAATTGTGCTTTTCTGTTTTGAATATGATACTCAAATTTAGTTTGTTGCTTTTGCTCTGAACTCTGTTTTTTTTAAAACGTTGTGTTCATTGATTTGAAGAAACAAAGAAAGCGGTATTGCTAAATAAATAATTCCATAGAAACATATTGTCAATAACTAGTGAAAACTTTATGCATTTAGTTATTATTTTATGGACTTTTATGGACTTGTCGCCATTGTTTTTGGACTTGCACTGATTTCATCTGGATCCTCCCTAACTGATCTCAATGAACATCAAGTCTGCACTTGTTGTTGGTAGTTGATGTCAGGTGTCATCGGAGGGATTGCGGTATAGTATACTTAAAATAGGAGCAAGTTTCAGTAATCTGCTTGACGGTCATGCCCTCATGCAAACTAAAGCCACCTACAATGTTGCCTATCCCATCTACGGTAGACCGGGAGGCGGGGCACACCCTGGGCAGCTCTCCAGTCTGACGTTCAACCATTAAAACTTTTTTTGGTGTTGTTTCTTCAGGATAACAAGTAAATAACTGCAACTTTATCAATAATAAAAAAAATAAAGCAGTATATTTGAAAATGGATTATATTTTAGCATTAGAATCTAATTCCGTATAAAGAACTTCTTGCAGAAACATAAAAAAATAAATAAATGTACAAACTTTACTTTGGCTATATATACAACTTTATACAACTTTTTTATGCCAGGTGTCCTAACAGTATTACGGCTTGTGACTTTAATATGAAACAAAGCTAACATAAAATTGTTCATTCTCCTATCACAGTCTCTCAGCTCTGTCTTATGACTCTTTTTTTGAGGAGGGGGCAGTGATTTATCAACAGCTGTTAAAGAATTTGTCAGATTTATGAACCACAAAGTTTTGTCTTTATCAGATCACGATAACCTCTCATAAGTTGTGATATTTGTATTTTTCTCATTTTGGGATCAAACGTGGTAGCCTAACATTTATTACACATGCTTTTTATTAAGGCTTTGGTCATAGAGACATGTGTCCAATTTTAAAATCTAAACCAGGTGTGTGCTTTTCTTTGTGGACCAGCTGGTAACAACTAGCAGACAATAATTTCCAGAGAAAGGAAGTAAAACTGTCAAAGTGTGCTCACTTTAGGGCTTAATAGATATTAGTGAGATTGATGTGTTTATTAGTACTGGTGAAAATGTGAGTAGACAGGTGAAAAAAAAGAATAAACAGCTAAGCTGCAGCAGAAACGTGCCAAAGATATATTCAAGTTCAAGATAACCTAGGGAGTGACTCAGTGCGCAGTTTGTAGATTTCCTGCACAGTGTATAATGTTGTCGTGATTCTTAAGTATTTAAAAGAAAAAGATATTTATTTAAACTCCCAAATATCTGTGTCACTAAGATGTTAGTTATAGCTCGCACATCTATAAAACATTGACATTTATAAAAGTTACCTCCCAGTTTTACTTTTTTCACAGAATAAGTACAAGTGCGGAGTTGCTGTGAGTTGTGACACGTGAGCACCAGCTCATTTTGTTCTGACGCCTGCGTTTGTGATATACATTCACTTTAACTTTACATGCAGATATTAACAGCAGTAAGTTTTCAGGGACTTGACCTGAGAATGACCGACTGACTGAAAAAAAATTTAAACACGTGTCCACGGCTGAAGCCAGAAAAGGTACGCTTTTCTGATGTTGTTTCACAGGACTTACAGATAAGAGGGAGTTAAAAAGAAGAAGAAGAAGAAGGAAGATGTAAGTGCATGTTTACATGTTTCAATGCCAAAAAATTGCATCCAATGAGGATGACAGGGCATCAGTGTCAGGGTTGTTGTCAGTGCAGTAGTGAATTATATCAAAATAAATTATTAAGACTTTCTGTGTGGAGCTTGCAGGCTCCGCCTGTGCCTGAGTGGGTCTCCTCCCACAATCCAAAAACATCTATGCTAGGTTATTTGGTGATTTGTAATTGCTTTACATGTGTATTAGAGTATGTGGTTATCTGTCTCTGTGTGTTTGCCCTGTGATGGACTATGACGTGATCAGCCTATACCTTTTTGCCCAAGGTCAGCTGGGATAGGCTCCAAACTCTACGCTGGATAAGCAGCCATGGGAAGTGGTGGATTGATTGTCATAATATACTAAAGATTTTTTCTTTTACCATTTCCCAGAGAGATCTGATGCAGTTCTAAAAAGTTTTTCCAAGAAAACATTTATAAAAAATTGATAATTTGTGGACAAAACAACCATACACATGGGTTGAGCACGGCAACTAAATCTCTCGTCATAAACCATTGAGTTTCTGTCAATCAAGATTATCTCAATTATTTTTCAGTCCTAATTTTCCAGAACTAACCAGCAAAACAACCCCTGAGCCCAATTATTTCCAAAATAATAGTATCTTTTGTATAATAGGGTGTACAGGTCTGAGTAATATATAATGTGAGAGTATGAGTAATCATAGTATCTCACGTGGTAATGTGTATGTCATCGGTTCATGTAACATATTGCAGATCCTGGATTTTTTTACTCAAATTTCTGTGTGAATAGATGAATTTATTTGTTTTCAAATGATATATTCTAATATTAGCTCACAGGGTTAATGCTAATAAAAGTATTAACTCTGCTCTGCTTGCTGTAAATAATGCATTATGTGAGGAAAACTTATTTACCCCATTTCTGATTTTTTTTGTTTGTTGCTTATTTGTCACACTTGAATGTTTCAGGTCATCAGACCAAATTTAAATTTTAGACAAAGATAACCCAAGTGAATACAAAAGGCAGTTTTAAATGATGATGTCATTTATTAAGAGGGAAAAATATGTTCTTTTTCTGAAATGCTGTGTTAGTTTTACATCAAATGTAACAGAACACAAACCAGACCACAAAATATTTTCCTAAATGTCTTCGGGATCATCAAGATGTTTTTTGCCAGTCTCTTTCTTATTGTTGAATCATGAACCTTGAACTTAACTGAGGTAATCCTGCAGTTCTTTAGATGCAGTTCTGACCTCCTGGATGAGTCATCGATGCACTCTTGAAGTAGCCTTTGTAGGCTGGCCTCTCCTAGAAAGGTTCACCACTGTTCCAAGTTTTCTCAATTTGTGGATTATGGCACTGGAGACCTGAAGCCTCAGAAGTGGCTCTGTTTGTGGGTTTCTTTAGATTTTGGCTTGATCTGTTGCTTCTTTGGATCTTTTGCCTACTTCACTTCGTCAGACAGGCTCTGTGTATGTGATTTCGTGATTCAACAAGTCTGGCAGTAATCAGACCTAATTCATGATTTAACAAAGGCGGGCTATTATTTTTTCACATAAGACCAGGTAGAATTGAATGCCTTTTGCCCTTAATAAACAAAATCAATATTTAAAAACAGCATTTTGTATGTCCTCAGGGTATCTTTGACCAATATTAAAATGTGTTTGTTGATCCCAAATGTGTGAAAAATGTGCCAAAAAAAGAGAAAAAGAAATCAGGAAGCAGGCAAATACTTTTTCACAGCACTCTGTATGTGTTACAGATTGTTGCAGTATCTTGTAAACAAATGCTGAAATGTCACTTTATATCCTACGGCCCTTTTGGAAGAGCTGGCCTCCATGAACTGGGTTTGCGTCGCTGGAGGGACTGCAGCTCCTTCAGGGCACCTATTTCTTATAGATGAGGCCCCATATGCAGGCTCCATATGCGAGCTGGCAGGGTTAGTGCGGAGCAGTGACATCTGAGCCGGGTGGCCTATGAACTGGGACATGTCAACACAGCACCCCGACTGCTGCCAAGATAGACAATTCAGGCACAGATAGCACCAAAATCCATCATCATGATAATACTAGGCAGACAAGACCACAGATAGATGGACAGATACACACACACACACACATACACATACACACTCACACTAACACTAAGTGTCACTGACAGTGTGAATGGAAGGGGTAGAAGAGAGGAAGGTGAGAGAGAAGTGAGCCAAGATGATGAGATAGTAGAGTTTAGTTTAAGGAAGTTTAAGGAGACAGAGAGACAAGTTCACAGATAATGATGAATGGTCCATATTGCCTGGAGGGAAGGATAGCTAGAAAACCTAAAGGTGTAAAACACACACAAAGTAGAAAAAGACAGTGTGGCGGATGGAGGAGAGGAAGTGTTGAAGCGCAAAGAATCCTCGAGGGAGTGAAAATAAGGTGGAACTACAATGGTTTGACTGGGATGAGCGAAGAAGGGTGGGCATACATGGAGGAAAATAAGAAAATGGTGAGATGTGTTATTATCATGGCATCATTTATTAGGAAACGCTACCCATTCTACCCACAAATCAGCTGCCCATCACATAAAAACTGTCAAATAAATGTGTGTGCTTCACGTCTGTTCAGTCCTAGAACGACACACAAACATGCACACACACACACACACAGAAACTTAAGCCTCTTTTTTTTATTTAGTAAAAGTTAGACTTGGTGCAGTGGCAGAGTGTACAGAACCAAA